TTCTTTTGTCTCACCCATCTTTTTATTCATCTATATCTTCTGATTGAATGTTTAATTTTGAGTGAGAATTCGCCATGATTAATTATTAAAATGCTTCAGTTCAAGTATTGTGAATTGATAAAAGAAAAATTCATAATGGGGTAGCTACGCCCAATATGTGAGACTTGATAATCTTGAGTTTCGTTATTACTTGGTAGTGTATATAGGAAATAGCTACTTAGCTAGCTGGGGATTTTTTTTAAAAAAATTTCATTCTAAGTGTATAAGACCTCAATCTATTCTGTTTTTAAATAACTAACTCAACTAATACTTTAATATAGGAAAATATGTACAGAAGTAATAAAATAATTTCCTCTCTGCATCCAAACTCTCTCTTAGCTTCCTCCATTGGTGTTGTTCGTTATGTAGCATAAAGTAAAGTAGGACTGTGACTCTGTTTTTTATGGGTAAATTAATTATGTTATCAGACTTAAAAGGAACTTGGGGTCTTTAACGTGTCTCCCGCTAATACTTTTTTCTTTTTTAACTAACAAGGCTACAATAATATAGGATGTACATGAATTTTGCACACCAACGTGTTCAACTTCTGTGAATGGCACAGTGAAGATTAGTATCTCCTCCTTGTTCCAGAGTGCTTCTTGATAACTGAAGGTTTGTGATCCCTCTCTCTCTCTCAACCTGCTTGTTTTTCTCTAAGATAACCATTCAATCTGTGGCCGACACTGCTTTGTACAGAGCTTCTGCTTAATTTATTGCATGCCTCAATCTTTTTCTTGAAGCATATATGGGTTGTTAGCTTACATTGTTTGAAGAATGTAGGTACGTAAGCCCGGTAGTTATGGCTCCTTGAATGAGTGTGGGCTTCAAATGAACTCTTTGCCACTTTATTTTGGCAAAAATGTTGTGGTGGGCTGAAAATAAGGACCAGATTCTTCCTTATGCAACAATGTCCTCCAAAATCCTGATGAATAAAAAATAAAAAAATAGATGTTAATATTGCTAAGCAATTTAAAACTATAATACTACCTCTTATTCTTAAGATAAGACTGATTTAATTAATTTGGGTATATTAAGAAAGTTACTTATTTATAACAAATATAAGTTAATTTTCCTGAAACATCATTTCAATCATGATCACTTGTGAACATCCCATTTTGTCTAAACCCACTAAAAAAATAAAAAACAATTAAAAAAATAAAAATTCCTTTTTATTCCTCCTTTGAGGCCAAGTTTAAAAGTCCACCATGTAGCAAAATCAATAAAGAATATTCTTTCTATGATAAGTGACAGTAAAATAAAAAATGAGAATTAAAAGTTAATTGACCTCCAAATTATAAAATATGAGGTGGACTCATTAAAAAAAAAAGAAAATTCAAAAAATCAAAATCAAAATCCCTCACTTAAGATAATTGACTCCTCAATCTAGAAATATCTATTGGAGTCACAATGGCTGAAAAAAATTTAAAAAATTAAAATTAAAATAAAAGTCAAAATTTGATAGTGATCTAGTACTTAAATAAGAGGTAATAATATCATGAGTCATAATTGAGAAAAAATAAAAAAATTAAAATTAAAAAATTGAGAAACCCTACGTGAATATATTATGAGTCATAATTGAAAAAAATAAAAAAAAATGAAGGGAGACAGACAGAAGTTCCTGGGCGAAAGGAGGCAAGTGAAAATTGAAAAGGCAGAGAAGTAATTCATATTGTGATCTCATATTTATCATTAAAAGACTTTTCTATGGGGATTGGGGAGTGAGACTTTTATTTAAGGTGGCCATCACATACCTAGAGGCTTGTCATGCTAATGAGATAAATTTGACGCATATTGATTGTCCATAACTAGATGGCCTTTATTCATTTATATGGGTTATGGACACTCCCTTATTATGTTTTTCATTTAGAACCCGTTTGGTTCAATCCCATTGCAAATGTTCAAAGGTAATCCTTATCACATTATCATAAATGACTTGTTTGGTTGGATTTAATCGTAGTAAAAAAGATTATACTGGTAAAAAAGATTGCACATTTTTCAGTAATATCCATTCATAGGAGGATCCTATGAATACTCATTGAAGACCTGCAATTCTTTATAAGATGACTAGTCTGTCCTCAATAACTTATGTGAAAAGACAATATTTGCCCTTCAAAGACAAATCTCATTTATCCACGTAATCCCTCACCACAGGTTGCAACTTCATTTGATGAAATGTCCTCCTAATCGGTGATTGTCCCTTGCATTCTGGATCCGAGTCCCTACAATTCTTTACTCGATATCGTTCCCATTAAAGTATCGATACCAAGAGAGCTTATTTTGTGAATTTAGCAGTGTTCAATTGAACCTACCTTCTAAATCAAGAATCTAAACCCTTATCTCTAAATCAAGCAAAATTATGATTGGATTCCTATAGGTGAATATCATCAGCGGTATGCAAATTTGGATTAAAAAACAATGTCATACAAAGTCCAAACTTTCTGCGAATATTTTTTTTTTTTCCAGTTCGTATGCGATAGGTATTATATTCCGGGAACTAATCATATTTAAATCAACTCAATTCAACAGTTTTCTTCAAAATTTACTCCTTTATTTAATGAACATTAGGAACTTGGGGTACTAAATAACGAAATCTTCAATCATGTCGTGCCACATCGGCATGGCAAAATAGATTTGATGGTGGAACAAAACCTAGAAGAGAAATGTAAGCGTCATGGTTTAAAGACGAGGACCATGACGTGAATGATCATAATAAGGATAAAATGGTCTTTCCGTTATATATTATTTGTAAATGATTATGAAAATTAACTTATTGCACCTCTCTTTAAAGAGCATACCAAACGCTGTTCTTGTAATTCATATTACATTGCATTCCCATTGCACTGCAGTGCATCTCGACTCATGATGCAATGTGGTTGAACCAAACGAGTCCTTAGTTTTTTTATCTTGCCTTGATACATAGCTTTTTTCTTCTTTCTATTATTTTTTCCATTTTTATTTTTTTCCACGTGTTTGACGTAATGCTTCCTTTTGACTCTTTCTAATTTTGTTTTAATATTTATTTTGTTTTGTTCTCTTTCCTGGTTTGCTGTCACCCTTCTTCCCTTTTTCTTTTTATTGCTATTTAAGGGACGAATAACCGTGTGATTCAACTTTTCTCTTGGCATCTCTTCTAAATGTATTACTTTACTTTGCCTCTTCATCTCTTGATGGCTTTTGGTGTGCATGTCTCTTATGCTTCTTTGCCTTTTATTGTTATTTGGCTTCCTCATTTTGCAGTTTGTGTAGTTTTGTGAGGGAAAAGCTTTAAGAGGTATGACTGTATGAGTTTTCTCTTCATCATATCTTAAGATTATCTTCTGTTGTGTGATGAGCATGCAAATGTCTTGTATTTTATGTTTTGTCTTCTAAATTTTTCTTCCCCTCCTTTCTCTTGGTCTATTTTTTGCAAACAAACAAATTTTAAAAAATAGAAAAGCTTCTTCTTTTAAAAAATAATAAAAAATTATTTTTAAAATAGTTTTATACTGTGTGAGGTTTTTAGAATTTCCTAAGGCAAAATAGATCAATCTTCTGTATGAGATTATGGAAATCTTCTCAGAAAGCTAATCTAAAATGTTTTCCAAAAAAAAAATGGTTTTTCTAAATAGTTTTTATGCAATGTAAGCTTTCTAAAAACCTTCTCAGGTAAAACAGATTATTCTTTTATGTGAAATTATGAGAATCTCTTTAGAAAGTTTAACTCAAAATTTTTTCAAAAGCTTTCTTTTTATTTAAATAAAGGTAAAATAATTGTTTTGTCAAATAAAAGAATACAAACCAGCAGAAAATAATTTTCTTGATAAATTGAATAAACTTTTTCTTTAAAAGAAATTCAACCAAGTGACACATATTATTTTTACTCCTGAACTACGTGGGCTTTGATCCTTCTAAAGAGTATGTGGGTTCTAGGTTTTTAACCTAAGCAACTCTGACTTTGTAAATAAATTATTCTTTTTCTCTTTTTTTTGTAAATAAAAAGTTTTTTTTCCTAGGGTAATTGAAATGTAATAAAAATGCCATATTAATTTTGAGTAGTTAACTTAAGGTAACTGTTCTCTTGAACAGGTATGGTGGGTGTCTAACACCTTCCCTCTCCGGCCTTATTTTGTTTTTTTTTTTTTTTCAAAATTACTTTTTCAAAATTTTGGTGACAATTTCTATTTCTTTCCTTTTATGGGAGAACCAAGATTTAGGCGTGACACTACCCTTGAACGCAAACCCCTTAATACGTGTATGGGTGAATAAATTGTGAATTTGGGAGACAAAGGCATTATAAATTTAGGCCCAAATCTAAACCCCCAACTGCCTTTCTGCAAGACTTGACTTCATTGCTTAAGAGTTAAGAATAAATCAACATGAGATCATATGCCTTCTTTGCTTTGCTTCTTTCATTCTCTGGACAGTTTCTTTATATATATTTATATATTTATATAATTATATGGGGGACTTTGCAATCTTATCTCCGCATAACCGAGCATGTGATGTATTGTGAATTTCTTCAATCGACTAAACCCAAATCTCAAGTTTTAATTTTAATAATTTATCAAATTTTTTTTTTGGACAAACTAGCTACTATACATAGAAAAAGTTTTAAAAAGTAGCATGCATGCATGTGTTTCGGAATGGGAATGAAATGAAAGCGAAATGTTTACTATAACTTTCAATCTTTTGGGATTTTGGAATGGCCTTTTGGCAGGTTCATGAACATGTTCTTATCTTCAAGTTTAGAACAAAGAGCAGAGATAACCGGTTAATTAAGCATCTAATAATCAATTTACAGCTAACAATGAGCAAGAAAGGAATGTTAAGACGTTCAACAGATTAATAAATCATGATTACATTAAATTAATTAATCATTTTCTTGAAGAGAGGAATACAAGTTTAAGAGCACTATAAACACATCTCAAGAGATTCAAGGAAGAAAATTAGAGCAATATCCCACAGTGCTATCATCAAAACACATGGATTTAGAAACAGATCAATGGGTGGTTCAAATAAACGAGAAGCTCAAGAGCCATGAATCTTCGTCAATGGAGATTCAAAAATGGGAGAAACATTGCATTTACGCGCTACCATCCTGTGTTGCAGACTTGAAGAAGAAAGCTTACGAGCCCCAAACGGTGTCGTTTGGTCCATACCATCACATGAAGGAGCATGTGAAAGCCATGGAAGAGCACAAACATAGAGCTCTGATTCACTTTCTGAGAAGGTGTGGGAAACCATTGAAGTTTCTGATCGAAAGCATGGCAAAAGTAGAACAAGGCCTGGGGGACTGTTACAAGGAACTCGATGATCAATGGAAGGGCAAGAAGGAGAAAGAGAAGGAGAATAATGATCATAGTTTCTTGAAGATGATGATTGTGGATGGGTGTTTCATGCTTGAAGTTCTGAGATCTGCAGATAGAGATAATAATAATGGCGGTGATTATGCAGATAATGATCCTGTTTTTAGTGGCCATGGAAAACTCTATGTAATGCCATATATCAAACGTGATATGCTTATGCTTGAGAATCAGATTCCCATGACGGTTCTTGAGATATTGATGGAATTTGAAGGAAACAATAATACCCAGGTAATTACTTAATTAATTGTGGATTTTAATCACCTTATATGTTCTACGCATGTTAATCAATTCAAGTTTTCTTTTTTTTAAATAAGACCTTGCTATTTATTCTTTTAGTCAAAACAGCTTGTGATTTGTGTTGAGGCCAAACAAACAAAAAAGCTTGTGAAAAATAAGCCATTATTACTCAAAGCCAACTTGAAAGTTGTTTGTAGGACTCAAATGGTCCTAGAAAGAAATTATTTTAGTCATATTTGTTATTCAAATAAAGAAATCATTTCGTACTGTCAAATACTAAATATAGGTAGGTCAGAATTTAAACCTTAGTTCTTTACGATGTGGGAGACTAACTCCAACTCACATTGATGAACTTGGGACATTACTGAAAAATCCCCCCATTGCAAAATTTGTTGTCGAAAGATACTTAAGAATCCAGATCCTTAAGCAGGGGCAACTTGCAATTCAGTCATTCATGTGCAACATATTTCCAACTATGTACAAATGTCTTCTATTTTGCATGGAGTTTAAGATAAGTTACGTATAGTTAAAAAAAGAGCTACACCCTATGGATTGCATCTAGTATATCGGGTATCTTTGCATAATAAATTTTGTGTAAAAAGGGATTTTTCAATAATTTTCCCTTGTTTTATAATCTCTTCTTATTTGTACTGAATTTGTTCCTTTTTGTCTGATTGAACAAATGGCGTATGGATCATCATCATATATCCAAAGAACCCAGAGTTCCTGAATGAGCTAATCCTCAAGTTCTTATGCCCTAACATTCCAATCCACAGAAACTTCGGAAAATGCTTACACGTCTTAGATCTCTTCAGAAAAAGCCTTCTCCAACACGAACCCACTCATCCAACAATAATTCCCAAAAAAATCACATCAAGCAAACACCACCAAGAGCAAGATGAAATCATCATTCCCTCTGCAAGAGAGCTTCAAGAAACAGGCATCATCTTCAAGCCAAGCAAAACCCACAGCCTCAAAGATGTCTCCTTCCATGGAGGAATCCTTAGAATTCCTTCAATCATCATAGATGACAGCACAGAGACAACATTGTTGAACCTCATAGCATTCGAACGCATGCACGTAGGAGCAGGCAACGAGGTTTCTTGGTTTGTGTTCTTCATGGATAACATCATAGACAACGAGGTTGATGTTGTGATTTTGCATCAGAAAGGGATTATACAGAACGCACTTGGAAGTGATAAAGCTGTAGCCAAGCTTTTTAACTCATTGTCCAAAGATCTTGCCGTGGACCGTGAAGAAGGAGGTTTGGATATAGTGCAAGTAAGTGTGTGTAGATATTGCAAGAAGCCATGGAATAAGTGGAGAGCTAATCTCATTGAAACTTACTTCAGAAATCCATGGGCGATTGTGTCTCTTGTTGCAGCAATATTTCTGTTTGTGTTGACTATTATTCAGACTGTGTATACGATTGTCCCATTCTATCATGAAGATAACTCTAATAATCCTTCTCCTCCTGCTGCTAGGGCATTTATTCCAAGAGTTCCTCGTCCTCATCTTTGACATTGGTAGAGAAATCAATTGCTTATTAGGAGATGACACTTCATTTTACTTACATTCCAAGCTCTATAATTGCTGTATTTATTGTTAAGAATTAAAGTTCTTAAACATTCACTATTCGTCTTTCTAAACGAGATGCTTGAAATAAGCATCCTTGTATTGGAAATCCAAAAGTAATTTTTTTTCATCTACAATATTTGAATAATTGGGTTTATTTGAGGAAATATTAAGTTTTTAACTTGACTAAAGCACGCACTGCATATTGGTCTATCTGTCATGTCCTCATTTTTTTTCTCTTTTAATTACTTTAAATGATAATTATTTCTAAATGAAAATGGTTCATGGCGATGATGATGATAAAATCAAAGAAGAAAAAGGCTCAATGCACAATGGCAAAAATGTTCCAATTTCTGGGCACATGAGGCCAACTTAGATAGTATGAGCAAGTGTTAATTAGTCCAAGTTTTAAATCGTCTTAATGTAATAAAAAGACAATGCTACACTTTTTTCTCGAGGGAATGAATGTGTGCTTTTACACCTTTTAAAACCCCATATATATAGAATTATTTAATCATTCCATTAATGCCTTTCTTTCTATGCAATCCATGCTTTAAGTATTCTACATCATAATTAGGATATATTTTCCCTTGTTTTTAAAAAGTAATGGAACATACTATGCGCGCATATATATGCAATCTGTTGTCCTTTCAGAATTAAAAACAAAAACAAAAAAGGGGAAGGAGTGATCAATTGGTAAAGAATAATTTGACTAAAAAGGACCAAAAAAGAAATCATCAGCCCATGAAAATTAGACTTATTGGCTTTTATCCTTCACATGTCCTCATTTGGATGTAAACATAATATCACATATCGAGGGACAAGAAATGCGAAACAAAATAAGTCTGACATTTCTTAGACCATAGCCTATTTTTTAGGCTAAATTATGGAAAACCTCTATGAATTTTATATCAACTATATATAAATAATCTTCCTAAGTTTTGAAACTATGCAATAAAAATTATTCCTGATGAACTTCTAATTTTACATTTATGCAGATAACTCCTGTACTATTAGTTTTTTCATTATTTATATATAAATGACTTAAAGTTTAAAGAGTTTATCTACATATAACTCAAAAAGGAGTTATACACACACACACACACACACACGAAAAATAGTCAAAGGATTATAACATTAATTAGTTTGGCGTTATATATTTGTATAGACCTAACAATTTAAGGGGTTTTATTACTAAATTTTAAAAATTGGGTTATTTGTACACGGTTAGATATTTTCTGTGTAGTTTAACTTCTTTCTTTCAATAGGATAGTAAGAGGGAATGAAAATGAAAGATACATAACAGCATATAAATCCAATAAAGGAGAATTCCACCGATACAGCACATACAAACACTTCTTTCCAGCCTCTTTTTTTTTTTTTCCTTTTTGTGGTGGTGGACATGATAAAATAAAAAAGAAAGATAACAAGATACATACAACATATGCACCCGGTAGTGGAGAATTTAATTCCATCAGCCAAGTTCATAATTACAACATATTTAATTTCTAGGAATGCAACTTTCTGCGAAAACGACGACGTTTAGCATATAAAACAAGCTTATTGACATGCGGGGGCACTCTGTGATCTTCTTGGCTGCTATCAGTGGACACAACGAAGCCTTCCTCTACCTCCATTATGTTTGAAGTATTAATTAAGAAGGACCAAAACCTCTGGAAAAAGAGACGAGGCGATACCATACTTCACTGTACCATTCTGAGATAACACTTTCTGCAAATAAATGACACCAAACTTCAAATTTCTTATTATTTTAAACAACGTAATTAAGCTGCTGAGATAATCGAAGCCAATAATAATACATAACTATTGTGCATGAAATTAAATTTGCTTACCAAAGGGTTTTCTGTGAATCGTACTGTGAAGTATAGCATCGTCTTCTTCCTCGTTCCACAGGCTCTGGTCCTTCTTAATGCTTCAATCACAATGTAGGTAAATGAAAGGCTTGCTTGTGACCCTTAAGAACGGCCAAAAATTGAACAAATGTGTTTGTGTCTTCCTCTATCTGTGCTTGCTTATCTGTAAGACTACGTACCTCTCATTCTTGGGGCCAATTAAATCCGCCTTATATAGAGCTTTTGCTTCTTTGCTTCTGTATTTTTTAATTCTATCTTGAGCAGAAAACATTCTAGAGTTCACTTTAATTAAAGTGAAGGGAGAAAAAGAGGTGTGGCAGGTGATGGATTTTATTTCTATGGGTCTCTGTGTTTGATGGAATTTACTTTTGAGAAAAAAATTGATAATGAAGATAAATGAAAAGAAAAAGCTCGTTGTCACACCATTATAAGATACTGAGCGCAGATTCTACCCACATGAGGCTAGCAGTTTAATTTGAACATTCTCATGTCCAAAATACAAAGTAGTATAAGAGTTTTTTTTTTTTGGGCCAAAAAAGTATAAGAATTTAGGACTTTCCAACCGGCAGTAGTTTCGAGTACAAACAATTAAAATGATTACTACTGTAGAAAATTTAGCACACAAAATTTCTTTTTATAAATAGCTAAATTAATTTCATTTTAGGAGTAGTGTATGCTTTTACAAGCATTAATTCATAAGCCCAGTTATACGTATAATTAATTGAGTAATTCATTATTCGTTCCTTTCTTTCTATTTAATACATGCTTTAAATATTCCATATCTTAACAAGATTTGTTTCCTTTATTTTTACAAAGTAGCAGTATGCAGGCATATGCACAAAAGACACATGCAATCTGTTGTCCTACCATAAATTTTGGTTTTCTGAACAAAGGGGCTTTGGAAGCTGAGAAGAAGAGTGATCAATGGGTAAAGAATAATCTATAATTAATTAGTTCGTTTCTTAATATATATATATATATATATATATATTACCCCTTCCTCAATATAAGACCTAATTGCTTAATTTGAAAAAAAATTAAGAAAGCTAAAAAAATTATTTAATTATAACATATGTTACATAATCTCTTTAAAATGCTTATGTGTACACTTAGATTACATGTCAGTTTAAAGTCAGACAAATCATTTGAAAAAAAAAGAAGAAGATAAATATACATAATATAAAGGTAAAATTTTTAACTTTCTTTATCTCCTGAAATTAGTCAATTAAAATTAAGTATTGTATTAGAGGCTAGAGTTAATAAGTCATGTTTTATATTTATTCACGATGCCAATACGTAAAAATGATTAAATTGTATGAAATGTTGTGAAAGGGGGAAAAAAAGGGGGGGATAATTAATTAACTTAAATAGCTGGGTATGATTTAAATTTTCAAATTCTCTACCCTATAATTAAAAAGGAATTTATGATGGAATAATTTCCTAATAAGTGTCTAGATGTTTCCAGGAAAAAAAAATTATTTAAGCTAATCAAAATACCTCAAAAGAAGGTCGTAACGCAACTGTGAAACTTGACTTTTTTTTTATGAATGCAGGCATGAGCTTTGATGTTCTAATTATAAAGTTGGAAAACAGCAAAGTCAGCATGGGCTCAAAGCTTTCATCATGCTCGTATCTTTTTTTGGTTTACAAAGAGGGCCCAAGCCCAGAAACACAAAAAGACAAGTGTATCCTATGCCATCTAACATGCGAGCAGTTCCAAACTCTTCATATTCATCAGAGTCAACTCTATCCCTTTCCACTGCACGCACACTATGAGGATCAACATCCTCCACATGTCTCCAACCCCTTTGTTTGACAAAGCTAAAGTCTTGCTAGACCATCTGCGCATACATTCGCCATTCTCCTAACTACATTCACCCTAACCTTCCAGTTCTTGGCAAGAAGCTTCGAAATACTCCGCAGCAGGCTACTGGAAAAGCCATTCTCTTTAGCTTTCCCTTTTGTTTTCCTTGCCAAATCCTCAGAATCAATCTCAACTTCCACTTTTTTCACTCCCATCTCCCAAGCTATTTCAAGACTCCGTTTAACTCCCCACACCTCTGCTTCATAAACACCACAAGAGCCAACTTGCTCTGCAAAGTCATAGATCCATCTGCCCATGTCATCTCAAAAAACCCCTCCACAGCCAGAAGGACAGGGATTTCCTCTGCAAGCACCATCGGAGTTGATCTTCACTCATCCTTTCGCCGGCCTTTGCCAACGGTGGACAGCTACATTCTATATTTTTCATTCTTGCAATCATTTAAAAGCTTCCTCTCTGCTGAACTTGGTTAATTTCTACAGCAAAACGCTGAATTCTCTCAGCACGAGATCTAGCATCAGAGAGGTCAGAACGAAACAATCTAGCGTTTCTCTGTTTCCACAAAACCCAGCAAGTGACGCCAAAAATCAAGCCCCGAGGTAAGCATCTTGCTAGTTCCACATCATTTAGATTTTCCTGAAGCCAAGCCTGAATAATTTTCTAATGGTCTGCTCCTTTGTTGTAGTCAATGTTAAACATGAGTTGATGGCCAAAAAGTTATGATATGCTTCCATAAAATATTCATATCACGAATAAGATTCAAATCCAATCTTTTGTAAATTATTATGCGCATTGTATTATCAATTGGGCTATCTATATATCATTAGTGAACCGATATACTATTCAATCCTTAATATAAAAGTTAGATAACTAGCTCTTGTATTAAAAAGAATATACTATTTGCTATGCATATACAAATAGTACTTCTTCAGCTCAATAAGCATAGATGCATGTGTGTGTGTGTCACAAAATGGAAGACAGTGATCTTTGGGTCTTACTACCTTCGGTCCTAATTATAAGACCCAATTGACTAATTTTAGGAGATTAAGGAAAGAAGTTAAGTTAATTATTTATAATAAATAGGTGTTGTCATTCCTAAAATATCCTTACTAATCAACTATATTGGCTAGAACTATAATTATTAGAAGGATTACTTTGAAAAAAATGTATAAATATGAGAGACAAAGTGAATTAGGGTCTTATATTTAGGATCAAAATAAAAGTCAAATAGGGTCTTATATTAAGGATCGGAGGTAGTATTTTAGAACATACCAATTCAAAAGATGACTACCTCCTATCTTAGATATAACAGCTATACAAGGAGATTATTTCTTCATTAATATAAAATATCAATAACTCTTTTGATTGTACATAGTAAAAAGGTTTCCATTAACAAGTAATTAAAATGGACATGGCTAGAAATGATATTATAAGAAAATCAATATATATTTATCACAAATAATTAAGCTTATAAATAAGTTATGTAACTGTTATAGATAATTAATATATAGACATATATATATTTATATATATGATAGACCCACATGAATCACACCAACTGATCCATGGAAACCCTCAACAGGTGTCGCTCCTTGAATGCTCCTCGTGGCCAGAAGTGAATTGTGTCTTTATTTGAGACCCAGTGAGTCTGAGCTACTGTTTCTAATGGCCGCCATATCAGTACTATGATATATCCAATATATCTTTTCGATTCTGATGCAATATAATAACTCTTTGACGACCACCATCCTCACTATCTTCCAATTTTAGACACTTGGCAATAAATTCTTCAATAATAGAGTTGTACGTTAAAGCAAGCAAATCCCCTTTGATGAAGACCGCCATAAGTATTCATATATGTGTGTATATGTATGTATATAGGTATTTGCCTCTGAAGGAAGCTTGAGTTATAAAACCAAGAAGGCTTGAATCTTCAAAGACATTATATATTCATCCTGCTCTGCCCTAAAATCAGATCATCATCAGAAGAAGAAGGAAAGATAAAAGAGGATGGACTCAAATGGCCATGATAATAATACCCAGAAGCTTCATGTTGTTTGTTTGCCATTCCCAGCACAAGGCCATGTAAACCCTTTCATGCAGTTAGCCAAACTACTTCATTCGAATGGCCTTCACGTAACCTTTGTCAACTCTGAGTTCAACCACAAACGCTTAGCCAAATCCCTCGGTCCAGATTTCGTTAAGGGCTTACCGGACTTCAGGTTCATGACCATACCGGACGGTTTACCGCCGTCGGAGATGGATGCTACTCAGGATATTCCGGCACTGTGTGATTCAACAAGGAAGAACTGTTACAGTCCGTTCAAGGAGTTGATAGGGAAGCTGCAGAACTCATCATTATGGTCACCGGAAGTTCCTCCGGTGAGCTGTATCATCGTTGATGCGAACATGACCTTTGCTGCAAAAGTTGCAGGTGAATTTGGAATACCAGAGATTAGGTTTTGGACGGCCTCAGCATGTGGCATGTTAGGATACTTGCAGTTCGATGAGCTTGTTAGAAGAGGCATTGTCCCATTCAAAGGTGGGTCATATATATCTCTCTTTCTTTATCTCTTAACCAAAAAATAAATAAATAAATAAACTAAGTTTTTCTTTTTGAAATTATGATTATTTTTAAGAGTAGACAAAGTAATTTTACCATAGAAGTATTTTTTAAGAAAATTAAATTTTCATAAAAAAAAATCTGAGAGAGACGAGTTCTCTGTTCATGATTTTAAAATACTTAATGAATTGATTTTACTTTGTAAAATAAATAATGAGATATTTGTAAAAATAAACAAAATATAAATTTAGTGGACTAAAATTTTTAGTCCATTATGCTTAAGTGAAAATATCAAGGCGTAGAAAAAAAAATTAGGTTTTGACAGTACTACATTTGCAAATAATAGCATATTTTTGTAAAAAAGTTTTATTTGGTATTTAATAATTTCAAACTCTTTTTGTGAGATTTTCTCAAAAAAAATTATTTGAACTCAAATACATCCAAGGTTAGTTACAGTGCGTTCAAAATTCTAAAGGTAATGGGGCAAAATATCAAAATTACTATATCTGCAAAGTGACTAGCTTTTTAATTTTCTTCTCTGTGCAGATGAAAGTTTCAAGATTGATGGCACCTTGGACACAACATTAGATTGGGTCCCAGGAATAAAAAATATTCAACTAAAAGACCTTCCAAGCTTTATAAGAACCACAAGCCTAGACGATATCATGTTTGATTTCTTAGGTTCAATCACAAAAGATTGCATGAAATCATCTTCCATTATTATCAACACATTCCAAGAATTGGAAAGTGAAGTTCTTGAAGTCATCAAGGCTAACAACCCTGATATATACGACATTGGCCCACTTCACTCTCTCAGCAGACATTTCATTAATCAAGAGATCAAGGAAAATGGCTTCGAGTCAATAAATGGATCATTAAGTCTATGGGAAACCGACTCAGAATGTATCAAATGGCTAGGTAAGTGGGAACAAAGCTCAGTGATCTATGTCAATTATGGGAGTATAACTGTAATGACTAAAAAACACTTGAAAGAATTTGCATGGGGTTTAGCAGAGAGCAAGCATCCATTTTTGTGGATAGTGAGGCCTGATCTGGTAAAAAGTACTGAGAGTGAAGAGACTCCAAACTTGCCTCAAGAATTCTTAGATGAGATCAAAGATAGAGGATATATAACAAGTTGGTGCCCTCAAGAACAAGTGTTGGCTCATCCTTCAGTTGGGATCTTTTTGACACATTGTGGTTGGAATTCTACATTGGAAAGTATAAGCCAAGGTGTGCCTATGATTTGTTGGCCTTTCTTTGCTGAGCAGCAGACAAATTGTTGGTTTGCTTGCAATACTTGGTGGATGGGGATGAAGATGAAGCAAGATATAGAGAGAGAAGAAATAGCTAATATTGTGAATGATGTAATGGATGGAGATAAGGGGAAGGAAATGAGGAAAAAGGGTTTGGAGTGGAAGGAGAAAGCAAGGCAAGTTACTGATGTAGCAGGGTCGTCTTACAAAGATTTCAAAAGGTTAATGAAGGAGAGGTTTTCCATTACTATTGGTAACTGAATGAAGGAAACAGTGTTGTGTATTTAAAGAAGTTAGTTTGATAGCATGTTAGAAGGTGATAACATGCTAGAATGTGTTCAATATGGAGGATATATTCTCTTAAGGTCTCATTCCTTATTATCTGTGTGGCTTATCTCTTTTAAGACCTCATTCCTGATTATCACACTTTTCTTCTAGTCAGTCTGTATTGTCCCTCATAACTAATGCGTATGCTGTCTAGTTTACTCGATAGAAATCTTCTAATTTTTTTTATGTTCTGCTAGGTTATAGAAATCATTAACACTTGTAAGGAGAAGAGTATTCCCAGTTAGTTCATCATGTTTCTTTTGTTTTTTTTTTTTTTAAATTTCCTTATAATTTAATTTATACGTTTAGAAATATATAACGTCAAGTGGGAACTATAGTTTCATTTTTTCCGAATTTCATCATTTATTTTCAATTGTTAGTGTTTTTTGAAAAAAATGTTAATCCTAAGAAATTATAAAATGTATAAAAATTTAGTTTCTCCATATGATTTTATATGCCAGTACATATGCTATTGATTTGAACCAAATTACACAAGATCAAAATGGATTTTAAAACTACTTCTGTAATAACCCAAAACGAGGAAATTGGGCCCTGTTTGGTTTCTTTCAACAAATATCACTAAATATGCCATCCGCACGCAAGCACGCCATAGATATACTCTTCTGTCCCAACAGTCACTAATCTGCTCATAAGCCTCATTGGTTCTCCTTCTTCCCCTTGCATTGCTGTGAGATGCTCCCACCGTTAATGAATCAGTTAATTCGTGTGATAGTTGAGTCCTTTGCCATGACAGACTAAGCCTATATTCTGGAACCTGACCAAGTTCTTCCGAAACACCATTAACACATGCTTTATCAATGTTGGACTGCTAGCAAAATAACTGCCACTGAGCTAATTTTAACCACAACAAGTAAAGAAATCATGTGATAACCAATTATGAACCTCTTATTGCATCACACTTCTAATACATAACAGTTTGAAATTGAATTGCGACATTCTTGATAAGATAAATTGTCACATATGATGTCTGCAAATTAATCTTCGTTCTGATTCTTCAAAAATGTGATCACAGTATACCAGTAAATGCAATAGGGCCATAAAAAAAATGGCTGCCTTTTTTCTAGGAAACAAAATATCAGATGACTTTCCTGAGCTCTCCAGTAAGCAGCGCATATTTGCGGTGTTGGGATAATATGGGTGGCACTTGGACTGCTTCTAACCTTGATTCTAACTCAACATAAGTTGAATCCTTGTGTTGATTAGCTGCATTCAATATTGTCTGCAAGATTTGCAGGGTATCTCCATGGCTGACTACCAAAATGGCACATCTGCACAATGGGAACCAATTCTTTTAGGCTCTGAGTCATAGAACATGAATCAAGTATACCATAACATTCTTTAAGTGAACTGGGATGAGAGTCAAATATAGTCATAATAGATGTAATGATTCAGAAAAGAAACAGCTCCATTTAAATCACAAGAAACGTGCATTTTGAGTTTAAGATCCATTTACAATTCAAGCTGTTAATTTGCAAGGTTGTTGCTACTCCAGGTTTCAGCAGAGGTGATGCCCTATAACATGCTGAAATAGACAAGACTTTCCACAAGTTGTTTAAATATTCAACGCTTGAGATGAAAATCATTACCCTGCGAATTCTGACTCCATGGCAGCCATTGCCCTTGCCAGTCTACAAGCAACATCCTTGACACTTTCTCCTCCTTCTGGCCTTGCAAATGGATCCTTCTCATCAGCATCCCAAATCTCTGCATACTACTAATAACGACAAGAAAAAACTACCGCTTGTCAAAATTACAGATGGGATGAAGACACTGAACGCTTAAAAGCACTAGTTTTATTAGACAGTGGCGTTGCATGGACTTAACCAGAACCTGGCCAATGATTGGATTTTAAATATCCAATATCTCTATAGCCAAATGGTCACCCAAGAAAAGAAAAGAACCTAAATATGAAACAAAAATTAACAGCCCTTCAATTTACCACTTTTATCACCCTTACCACTTTTATCACCCCCAAGAGCCGATGACCAGTTACCTTGTCATGTGATTTAAGTTCATATGAAGGACCAAAGTAGCGTTCTCGTAGATCTTCTATCATCTGCATTAAAAGATAGACATAACTAACGAGGTAAAAAGTGTTAAAAAAATATGAAAACGAATCGAAAAATGGATTTTTCTTTTAGAAAAATAAATGAATGAAATTTGAGGAGGAATTCTCTGGAGAGATTCAACGGCTCACCTTACACTGTGGACCTTGAAAAGGAAGGTTTAACACACTTGCAACAACTTTCGCAGTGTGGCTTGTTCTTGAAAATGGAGAGTAGCAAATGCGTACATTTTCAATTGATATACTACTAGTCTCGAGTTCCTGTCCCAAAAATACCAGCATACAACTAAGGAAGCATGCATGACAGTCATTTGTATTGTTCATATAACACAAATGCATGTGTTTACATTGGAATATAGTCCATGCTCTCTTTCCGCACCTTTTTTAACAGAAGATAGATCTCTAATATGGGTAATGTTGTTAGGTAAAATGATAAAATGATCTTTCTGACATGCCATTCATCATATATATTGTCAATGAGGGATCTTTTTCCCAACAAAAAAGAAAAACAAGAAGAAACTGTGTTAGAAAGAAAGAAGATTACAGGATAAGTTCTCGTAAAATAAGAAAAAATAAGGGCGGGAAAATAGAATAAACATAAGACTTAGGAATGCAACAAAGCTTCCATATCACTCTGAGGATCTAATTGAGACAGTGTCTTGAATAAACCAGTAGATGAAATACCAAAGGGAAGCCAAAAGCACTGCCCTGTCTCACTCTGAGTTAAGTGATGATTATCAAGCCGAACAAGCCATGACAAATACACAGACAGCACATCACCACCAAATTTCAGCCTCTCTGTTTTTTTTTTTAAAATCAAATCTTTGTACCTTGTCAAGAGACACTATCATCAAAGCCAAAAGCCAGATGCAAAGTTCTTCAAGGACACTTAATAATTTACTCCATAAGAACACAGCTACTGGGAAATGCAAGAAAAGGTTTGGCATTGGTTCAAAATTAGACATACACAAACACAAACAATGCATGTATAAGAAGAAAGTTCGGTATTTGGTTTGTGAAGCCGCAACAGGTCATCAGTGTTGATCCTAAAATACTGCTGCCCAAACAAAGACCAAATAAGCAGCCTTAGATTTCCAAATAGAGTTTGTTAAGAAGAACTATATCAAAAGAATCAATAACCAAGATTATGACAAGCAATTATACTTTGCCAGAGGACTATTTGAATCTGATAAAGCATATATCGTCTACAGGCTTTTCTTGAATTAAGCAGGTTACATTTACGCCAATAAATTCTCCCAATGCCATTCAAGATTAAGATATTCAGGTTAATAAGTACATCAATAGACTATAGCGGTCAATGGAAAAGAAACGAAACTTTAATTCTCCTATAACCCTTCTAGACTGATGACCTGACCAACATCGTTAAAACAGAAGTTAACCCCTAAAATATCAACAGAAGTTAGTTCAATCTTGTGGAGAAAATAATCCTTCTACTACGAAATTGAGTATGATGCATAGTCATTTCCCAGTATATTCATACAAGCCCATATACAAATGAAGCAACAGAGAAAATGAAGTTTATCCTTGGACAAAATAAACATGCACACAAGCACATGCTCAACCTAAAACAACGAACGACAATAAAAAGATTATTTGAACTCCCGGAATATTTGTTAAATGGGATGGGTAAAAAATGTCTTGGAAAGGAGAATGAAAAGGAAAAGCAGCTACCTTTAGGAATAACTTTCCAGCCACTTCTGCTTGGTTAACTCCTTCGGAAGCCAATTGGAATTCAGGATTCGTACCATTTTCCTGTTATTTTTTTTCAGTTACTGGTCAAACACTCCATATGGATTTCTTTTCACCTCAGGCTTAATGTTTATGTTGTTGGTGGTGTGTTTCTTCCAGAAAGAATTGAAAACGGCAGATAATCATTGATCATTTATCAGTTACAAGTCTCCTCCAGGTAGCCAAGAAAACACAAGGCCAGACCCAATCTACCGATAGTAAAAGTAAGCAAATGGGAATATAAGAAATCAAAAACGAACCATTGAGGAAACAATAAGGCCTCTCTCATTTGGAATGCTCCTGCCATGCCTCAAAACCCAGTATCTGTTCCGTAAAAACGACGTCCCCTCCATTTCTAGTTCACTGCCTACTTCCTCCCACGCACCACGGTTCCTAGCGACCAGATGCCAATGCCTCAAAATTGAAAAATTGTCCTTCTCTCCTTTTTTCTTAATGGAAATAGAACCCGTGCTTGGCTAGTTGCAGAAGGGTATACTGTTTGATGATTGATAGACCTAAAAAAAGAATGTAGCTTTTATAAATTTCATTTGAAATCTTAAGATTAATTTTCATTTTCGTGTGTGTGTGTGTGGGTCACCTCCCGAAAATTTGGGTATGACCGGCCCAAATCTACCACAAGCACAAGCAGAGGAAGGAGAATCTGAACATAACTATACCTGCAAAACAGAGGAATGAGGAAATTAAAGGCACTAACCCCCTGCAGGGACGAAGAAGGAGAACGGAAGAAGATCCACGGCAGAACTCCACAGCAGCTAGAATTTTTGCTCTCTTTCAGGTCACACATTGTATGATTGAATTAGAAAAATACAAGATATAAATATCTAACAAGCGTGGTAAAGGGGGTGGTACCTGGTTATCCCTCGATGACCATTCCCTTTATCGTTCTGCAAGGAAACCCCCAGCCGTGAAGCCCCTTGAATATTGATTTCGTATTTCTTGGCTTGCCTTTTCCTTATGCTGTTTTTTATTTATTAATGGAATAATAATCTAAAATAAATTTCATATTTACATTTATAAATTTTAGGATTAATTTAACTATATAAATTTAATTAAAATTTATGATATGCTTGGATAAGAAGAAAAGTTGAGAGGAGAGAAAATAAGAGGAGAGAAAATAAAAAGAAAAAAAAAACTGAAGGGAAGTTGTGATAATTACTCTTGCTTGGATGGATGAGAGAAAATAAAAAGGAAAAAAAATTAGCATATATCTAAATGACTAAAATGTCTTTATCAAAATATATCATATTTACAATTAAATTAAATTAAATATTACAATAAAAAAATTATACTAACATTAGCATCATCAAATAATTTAAAATCAAGTTATTTGGTTTGTATATATTTTCAGATTATTATATTTTAAAACCAAATTATTTAATAAAAATATTGTCTTAAGATGAAAAAAAGTGAATAACTTTTTAAATATAATAAAAGAAAATAAATATGGAGAGAAAGAGAGAGGAGGGGCAGTCATGGAAGTCTTGTTTTCCTTTCCAAATCTCTCCATATATGGAGAGAAAATTTGAAGAGAAAACAAGGTATGAGGCCCACCTTATTTTCTCCTCCACTTTTCCTTTCCCCACGTTTTCTCTCCTATCCAAGCAAAAGAAAACTTGTTTTTTCTAATGTTTTCCTTCCTAATTTTCTCTCAATCCAAGCAGGGGGTTAGTGTATAAAAACATTTGGATAATGCAATTTGCATTTTGAGGTAGACGAAGTAATATTAAACCCCTCTTTTCATAATTCCATAAATAATTCTGGTATATGTTTAAACCAGGAAGCATCTTGTTTGCTCGAAAAGGAGTTGTTGCGGTTCAAATGATAAGTCGTCAATGCAAATGACTAAATAATTAAATTACTATTAACATTGGACTTCAACTACTTATTCCGATTTCATTTCTCATTGTTTTTCTTGAAGAATGTATATGTAATAGTTACCTGTATTTAACTCTGACCACAAGATGTTACTCCCTCCGTTTTTTATTATAAGAGACATTTGATGCTTATGGCATGTTCCTATATATAAGAGACACTTAAAAGTTGTCTCTACTTTTTTGTGTTGATTTCTTATTTTACCCATATTTATTGTCTCCAACTCACACTCTCTCTCCTTCTTACTTTTCTTTTTTTTTTAATAATTTAATTGTTCTCTTTCATGCTCTCTCTCCTTATTAATGAGGGTATTTTTGGGAAAAAATTATATTTTTTACACATTGATTGTTCTTAACTAATTTTAACTGCTTTTTTTATCAATATAATTCGATTATTTGTCTCTTATAATAAGGAACGGAGGGAGTAATGATTTTTCATTTACCTCTCTCGAATAATATGTCATATCCTGATGTGCTGTATCTTTTATTGGATCTTAGTAAATCGTAATGAATGTGCTTAATTAAGGATATTTCTTTTCTCAAAATAAGGATATTAATTTTCTTGATATACCTGCACTTTTTTTGGGTAGAAAAACCACGCAGTATTGCCCCGCCAATAGCTAAAGATTAGTCCTCCTAAAGTGTTCTCCTTTCATCCCTTATTATAAAATCTAATTTTTTGAATAGGTTTGTCTTTTTTTATAAGACCCCTTTTGAGTTTGTCTAAACATTTAATGCATTATTATCTATTTTATCCCTGATTTAATGCATTTAATACATTCTCTTTCTTTATTTATCTTACTATTACTCTCTCACATCTATCCATTTATATATAGGGGTATATTTGAAAAAAAATTACATTTACTGCATATTAATTGCTTTTAATTAATTCTAATTGTTTTTTTAAACCGCGTAATTTAATTAAAATGATCTTATAATAAGGGGATGAAGTAGTAGAATTCAGCAAAGTGGGTTTTGACTCTCCTAAATAAAGTCTTTTCCATACTTACGGCCTACTTCAATGATATATTTGCACTTTAACAAGCAAACAATATTGTGATTCTGAAGATAAAATTAAGGAAAAAATTAAGATGCTCAAATTAAAGCAACAGTGGTAAATGTTGGGGAAACTGAAAAATGGAAAAAGAAAGAAAACTTGCAGGGAGAACACATTCATATCAAACTTCAAAAACTGAAGTTTCATATAAAATCAGCTAATTGACACGTATAACTTATTTTCCTAACACACAAACAAAGGTTGTTTTCCCGTTCTAAATCTCAACTTCTAATTAAATTGAAAATTGAACTATAATGCCCATAATAAGATCAACTAAAATGAAGGACAAATTTTCTAAGTAATTATTGAACTATGTCCCACATTTAAGATATCATGTTGGTCATCTCTCAATAATAGAAAACTCAGGTGAACCCAAACAAGCTAGACTTTAGCAGAACTATTCACTGTAACAAAGAGCCTCTCTTTCATTAACCTTTTGAAATCCTTATAAGCTGTTCCTTCTTCATCAGTTACTTCCATTGCTTTCATCTTCCACTCCAAACTCATTCTTCTCATTTCCTTTCCCTTGTCTCCCTCCATTGCTTCCTTCACAATATCAGCAATCTGTTCTCTATTTATTTCATGCTTGGCCTCAATCCCTATGCCCCATCTTGAGCATGCGAACCAACAATTCGTCGGCTGCTCGCCAGAGAAAGGCCAACAAATCATAGGCACACCTTCACATATGCTTTCTATTGTAGAATTCCAACCGCAGTGTGTCCAAAAGACCCCAATTGATGGATGAGCCAAAACTTGTTCTTGAGAACACCAACTTGTGATGTATCCTCTATCCTTGATCTCATCTAAGAACTCTTTAGGAAGATTTGATGTTTCATTATTACTCTCACCATTGACCAAATTAGGCCTCACTATCCACAAAAATGGATGCCTGCTCTCTGCCAATCCCCAAGCAAATTCCTTCAAGTTTTGCTCAGTCATCACAGCAATACTCCCATAATTGACATAAATGACTGAGCTTGGTTTCCACTGGTCTAGCCACTGGATGCATTTTGAGTCACTTTTCCAGAAACTTAATCCACTTGATGACTTGAACTGATCATTCTCCTTCTCTTGATGAATGAAATGCCTATTGAGCAATTGAAGTGGGCCAATGTTGTATACATTAGGGTTCTTGGCCATGATGACTTCAAGAACTTCACTTTCCAATTCTTGGAATGTGTTAATAATGATGGAAGATGATTTCATGCATTCTTCTGATACTGAAGCTTTATATTCAAACAAGAATTCTGATAGGCTCTTGAATCTTATAAAGTTCGGCAGGTCTTTATGTTGAATACTTTTCATTCCTGTGACCCAATCTAAAGTTGCATCCGAGGTACCATTATTGGCAAAATTTTCATCTGAAAAGCTCACAAAAGATATATATACATGAGAATAGGCAAATTGAAAGAAGTGATAAAGGAAGACATTTATATAACATGTCCAATCCTATGCTAGAAGAAGTTAAGTAACTACTTTTCTGGTTATAAATATAAGACTTATTTTATAGTATAAATCACACTATAAAATTAGTCTTAAATTTAGAACTAGAGGAGTAGCTAGTTTGGGTAGAATCATCTGTAAGATTAACAAGCACTTCGTTTTAGGCTTCTCAAGACAATATGAGACACGAACACGAACTTGGTAAAGACCACGATAAGTGGCACATCCCCTTGTTATTCTTTCAATAAAAAAGAATGAAGTGAAGACAAAATGTGATTTGACGCTCTTTGTACCGTAAACGGCTGACCAACCAACGAACTACTTGGCAAAGGAAGGAAAAATGATGCAAGAAATGAAATTTTCAGAGACTTCCGATATGTTTCTGCCAATTGCTAAAGGATTCATGGATCAAGATACAGACGGGATATATAGGATCGGTCCCCCCTCACCAAGGTATTAGTTGTCAGGTTTTCTTCTTTTTTGCCCCCTTTGTTTTTCTCTTTTGTTCTTTTATTTTCATTGTATTATTTATTTTCTTTTCTATCATCAAGACTCATACTAATTTTATTTTTTGACTTGTTTATTTTCCCTCAGGTTTATGTAATGAATGGGCTTATTAATATCATCTGAATGCATTTAGGAGAAGGGGGTTTGGCTAAGGAAGAGGTGAGGATAAATAAGATGGAGAAGGGGTTATGGAGTTCTTGAGAATTTCCCACTTCTCTTTAAACCTTCTTTTTACTTCATTCTAAGTATTTTGTCTATAAGTGTCTTCTATCTTATTACTGTTAATTTTAGGATTGTTTTTAATTAGTACTCCTCTTGTCCTATTTAGAGGGCGGAGAGAGAAGTTTTTTTGTCCTATTTATAAGTCAGTTTATTATATTTTTAGTCTGAATGTACTATTTTGTCTTTCATTTATTATAGTGTAGGTAGTTATCTCTTTTAAAAGATGTATATATTAAATATGGATAAAATTAAAAAATTGTTATATTTTAATAGAGAGTTGATGCATTTTAAGGTTTTCTTTTTTGTTTATGTGAAATATGTTGGAAGTACATTATAAATAGGACCAAAAGAGTAGTTATTTATAAACACTTGAAATTTATAAATATGATCTTCACTCATATTTTAGGAAGTTTAAAATGTAGGATCCAAGTGCTCAAAACATCTATAATTATTCACATTCAAAGCCTCATTTACTTTACTCAACCACCTCACTCACTTTAGCTCACCTGTTTGTCACATTTACTCTTCAAGACAAGGTACTCTTTCTACTCTCAAATATAAGTTCACATACCAATAAAAATAGTTTAAAACATTAAAATTGTCATAAATTTTAAGTGATTTTCAATGTAATCCTTATTAATTACACTAAATTTCAATGTTATATATTAAGTTCTACTCATCCTTTTTAAATACGGGGATATAAAAAAAAAGAATATTTAATACTATCAAATACCTTATAAAAAGGATGAAGAATTCAATAGCACCTTCTCTACATGAGCCTAGTGAGAGTATATTCTGTTTCTTTTGGTCTTCTCAAAAGTGTATGACTTTTGTTTTGCTCCAAAAAAAAAAAGTGTATGACTTTGCTGCAAAATTTGATTGTTTTAATTTCCGGTTATTGTTTAAAATAAAGATAAACACCTATTTCACCTCGGAGGACCAGCCATGGTCCTAGTCATCCTCATCCCATAATTAATCATTTAAAAATTACTATTAACATTTACAAGTTGAGAAAGAGCTAAAAAAAAAAAAGATAGAACATGAACATAAACATCTTAAGTTATGACTAGTATGTGAATTGTAGAAAGTACTAAAATTTTTCATCAGAAATCTTTACTTATATATCCAGCAATTTCACATTCTGTAATGGCTGCAGTAAGTTTAACTTCCAGTGAGAGAAGAAAAAAATTAAGTTTAAGAGGACTAAACTCACCTTTGAATGGAAAAATGCCTCTTTTAACGAGCTCATCATACTGCAAATATCCCAACAAGCCACATGCTGAAGCAGTCCAAAACCTAATCTCTGGTATTCCAAATTCATCTGCAACTTTTTCCGCAAAGCCCATATTCGCATCAGCAATTATGCAGCTAACTGCAGGAACTCCTGATGAAGATGATAATGAGTTCAACTTCCCTATCAACTCTTTAAGCGGACCATAACAGTGCTTCCTTGTTGAATCAATCAGCGCCGGAATATCCTGAGCATCCGTCTCAGACTGCGGCAAACCGTCCGGTATTGTTTCGAACCGGAAGTCCGGTAAGCCCTTAACAAAGTCTGAGCCGAGGGACTGGGCTAAGCGTTTGTGGATGAACTCAGAGTTGACGAAAGTTACATGAAAGCCATTGGAATGAAGAAGTTTGGCTAATTTCATGAAAGGGTTTACATGGCCTTGAGCTGGGAAAGGCAAACAAACAATATGAGGCTTTTGAGGAGAAGAATCACACATCTTTTTTTATGTGAATGTGTATTTTCTGACCTTTCTGATTTGATCAGTGAAGCAAAGAAGAATGAATGGTGACTTTTGAAGAGATCTTTGGAATGGTAGGAGAAGCAAATTGTTGGGGTTTCTTCACTTTATTAATTAAGGGCTCCGAAATTAAATAATCACATGTGAATAATTGTTTGGGAACATGTTTAGTTGTACTTTATCGTTCATTTCAAGCTCAGTTTATAATTATTTTTAATTAAGTTTTCAAAATTTATGACTACTCAATATTAGTTAAAATTAGTTGAGAACAACAAATATATAAAAAATATAACATTTTATTAAAAATATCCTCATTTACGTGGAATAAAGATAATGTGTAGAAAGGAAAATGTGTGAATACTAAGTACAATAATATGAGTAATTAAATAGCGTAAAATAAAAAATCAACAAATAAGATTTGAGAAACTTGCAATTATCTCTTATAAAAAAAACACGATATATTTCACAATTATCTCTTATAATAAACAACTGAGAAAGTAATTTATAGCGAAAGAAAATTTTTGTTTTTAATTTTTTATTCTCATACGCCTTCGTTCAAAAACAAGGACATATAATAGTGACTTGTATCTAACCAGGGTCCCCTGTTTTAAATGTGCATAACTGTATGTGATGGGACATTTCATGTGCCCTTTTCTCGATGCTATTCTACCAATGATATTGCCCGAGAACGTAATCTAACGGTCTAGTTTTTCTTTCAAAAATATTTTATCCCCTAACGATCCAAAAAAGCAAGGTTGTCAATCAAATAATTAAAGGATTACTGTAAACATTGTCAGCTTGTATGTTCGGTACATGTGTGTGGGGGCGCGTCGTGTTTGTATGACTAAGGGAGTGTTTGGATAGAAATCAAACTATGGTTTTAGAAGTGCTTTTACGGATTACGAAGTAAATATGTGGAGGAGGTTATCTCGTTTTGCGGAAAAGTGCTTCTGAAACCATGGTTTTGGAACACCCAAACAGACCCTAAATAAAATATACTTGCCTTCATTTAAAAATATACACGGGTCCTTTTACACATCCTTAGATCTGTATGCATATTAAAAGGTAGTATTAATATAGTATCCTTAGATCCTGAAATTTAAACTTATTTTAATTTTATCCCCTCAAATATTAAACTCGTGATTTTAGTTCCTGAAATTTAATTTACTTTAAAGTGTTAGTTCATAGAGATATAATAGTATTAAAATATGTTAAAATACCGTAAACGATGTTAAAATAATGATATGAACTCACCAAATAATACTTAATTAGATTTTGTAATTAAAAAAAAAAAAAAAGAACATGTCTTGAGCGCAGAAGGGGATGAGTTTTCAAAAGGGAGCATAATGAACAACTCTTTAGGCAAACAATGAGGGGGAAAAATGATGTTGAATATTTGAGGACTTTTTTTTTTCTATTATGTTATTTATACAAGATTTAGCTAAATGTCTTATAATGAATTCATATCACCACTTTATACCATTTACGAGACTTCAACATATTTTAATAGTGTTATATCTCCAGAAAGTAAAGTTTTAAAATGAACTAGATTCTAAGACTAAAACCAATAAAAAATTATACGAACCTTTAAAAATAGAAAAATAAATTAATTTGACAATCCTTATAGTTTTATCATATTTGGAATTAAGTCCTTCTAGTTTTATTTCTTTTTATTGGATCTTTCCATTTTATTATGTTGAAATTTATTTAATGGAAAATTTTCTTTTAAAATGATTAAAAAATTATTTTAAAATGTCGTACACACCATGAATATTTTAAGATGTTAGGCATCTCAACTCTATTTATTTTTCAGGAAGACATATTGCACATGATCTGCTCTCACGGTCTTGAAAGCCAGTCAACTATATAATAGTACAACAATCCCAGATTATTCCCTTTTTTTTGTTTCATTTGTTTATTTATTTTCCCGACTTAACAAGAATCCTAATAAATAATGAGACACACTACACAAAGTCCCTCGTTGCAGATTTCAAAGTCAGTAAACTACTCACTTCACTCAAATCTGCAAAATATTTTCCTGTAAATCCTCTTTCCAACACCAAATATTGTCTACCGGTCAAATTGCATGCTGAGTGCCTCTCTCTCTCTCTCTGTCTCTCTGTTTTTTCTTTTTGAATAAATACTGAATTTCACTCAATAAAAAGTCAAAACAAACAGCTCAGCACCCAAGACTCCCACCTTCAACAAATTCTACCTCTTGCACAATAGGAAGAGGTTGATTAAAGATACAAAAGCTTGCCTTCATATTATGGGAGGACTTAGCAAGATAATCAACCCAAACAATGTATTCCCCGTTTGTGTGCCTAATGTAAACCTGCCACTCCCTGTTAATACTAACTCTGGCATTATCTATAACGTCCCCAGAAGGATGTTTAGAGTCAAACCCTCTAGTAACAAGATTAATAGCCTGTATACAATGAGTATGCACAAAATTTTTTTTCCTAAACCCGTTGTTCCAACAAATACTAAGCCCATACAAAATAGCAAAAGTCTCGGTAATAGCTGACAGAACTATCATAAGCTTGCAATTGAAGCTGCCAATCCAATTGCCTCCTCTATCCCGGATAACTCCCACAACCATTGTTGCCATTAGGAAGAACAGATCCGTCAACCTCGAGATACACATGGTTTCCCTGAAGGTTGAGGGACATTGTGTCATGTTGTTGTCTCTTGTAGCAGTGTGAGCGGGAGCTCATTAGATCCATATATAGACAAGCTCTGAAAAAACGATCCTTGCCACTAGTAGCATTGTTGAGGTCAGTATTTTCAAACAGCTTCTTACATCTACTATACCAGATATGCCAGCAAATATACCCAAACAGGGTTGACCAAGGAATTTTCTTAGTATACTACTGACCTACATCCTATTTTAAATTCCAACGTAGTTAGTCTGTCCCTTGGAATGAGAAAAAGTGTGGCCTGACCTCCTAAGCAACTACTGATTCCCATTGATTTTTTGCTTTCGGACAATCTCTAATCAAGTGCATCAGACTCTCAGGATCGTTGCACCCAAAAGGGGAACTTGGTGAATCCATTAAACCTCTATTCAAGCGTAGCTCCGCAATATGTACTCAATTATGTGCAAACAACCATAAGAAAGATTTCATCTTTTCTAGGATCTTGCACTTCCATAGCAATCTCCAAATGCGATCAGGCTGTCGATGAGTATCTGCAAGAAGGGAAAAAAAAGAAGAAGAAGGCAGAATTCACAGAAAAACAACAATCAGTAAATGGTTTCCAATAGATTTTGTCCTGTCCTCTCTCCTCAGGGGGTGAGCGTATAAGCACAAGTCTCTCAATAACCTTAAATTAGACCAATTCTCAAACTAGAAAGAAGCCAAGTCTCCATTGCCTATCTTTTTCCCCAAATTTTTTTCAAACATATTCTCCTAGACCGCAAAGATGCTTCTCCAAGTAAGGGATGAGTTGGCCTTCTTTTTAACTATAGGCAAAGGATCTAAGCCGCATTTATACTTGTTTCCCAGGACTTGAACCCACAAAGTGTCTCTTTCGCAACTCAGCTTCCAACAAAGCTTAAGGACGAAAGCTTCATTCTGTTTTCTTAGATCTTTGATACTTAAGCCACCATCTTTCTTGTCCTCTGTTACATGTTGCCAAGATACAAGGTGAATCTTCCCTCAGTTTCCATCATCATCCTAAAGGAAATTTCTATTTTCCTTTTCTAGCTCAGTTAACAACTTTTTGGGTAGGAGAATAGTTTGCATGTGATAAGCAGGAAGAGCAGATAACACTGCTATTATGAGAGTAGTTCTCCCCGCCATAGTAAGACGTTTCTTCTTCCATCCTGAAAGTCTCCATTGTGTCTCCAATAGGACTGGGGAGAACAAAGAGTAAGAAGCTCTGCTATGTATAAGTGAAATTCCCAGATACTTCCCTAGATCACTAGTGAGACCAAATCCCATCTTTTGACTTAGCTCCAAAGCTCGTGTGATAGGGACATTTCTAGAAAAACGGACTTTAGTCTTTATACTATTTACCTTCTGTCCTGAAACCTCACAAAATTTACTAAGGCAATTCATCATGGCATCCACCTGATTCATAGACGCTTCCCCAAACACAACCAAATCATTAGCAAAGAAAATATGGGATAACTTCGATCCCCTTGACTTCAGTTTAATTGGTGCCTACATCCGAGCTCAATAGCATCCTGGGTAATATGATTCAATCTTTTCATACAAAGAGTAAAAATGTACGGATCTATGGGATCCCCTTGTTTGACCCCCCTTGAAGGACAAAACTTTTCAAACACTTCTACATTCCATAATCCTGAAAGGACGAGCTCATGATGCAAGTCATAATGACTCCACAAAGGTTTTCCTCAAACCCAACCTCCTGAAGTGCGTCCTGGATAAATGCCCAATTAAGGTGGTCATATGCCTTTTCTCTATTATTTCCTTTTTTGAGTTTCATTGAATGGATGACCTCTTGGGCAACAATAAAGATATTATCGCTAGTTTGTCTCCCCACAATGAAACTACATTGATGCTTCCCAATTATTTTATTCATGATCAATCATATTCTCTTGCTAATAATTTTTGTAATGACTTTGTAGCTCACATTGCAGATAGAAATTGGTCTAAAGTCTTTGATAGTCTGCGGGGCAATCCAGTTGTCGTTGAGAGATTTTAATTATCTTGGAAGGATCACTAAAGGCTTCTTTCGCCATTATATTAGTCATTAGACTAGATGTTGAAAAAGAGAATCATAATTGAAGACCATGTAAAAAAAAAAAAAACATATAATGAAAACTTTTTAGGAATATTGGGGCAAAACAAAAAAGCATTTTTGGCTGAATATTAGGAAAAATATGAATTCCAAATCATCTTTTTAGTCTTTAAACCACTTGAACATCGCTCTTCTTAAGTCTGGAAATTTCCAGCTTTGAGGACAACAACTTAATCATTATTTAAACATCCTCAGTACATAATCACTTGAAGTTCTTATTTAA